GCCTAAAGAATTCAATGGGTTTGTTGACTAGATCAGAATGCCCTGTGTTGAGATGTCGAGTAAGTCGCGATGGCTTCATAGCTTCATTTCCCAGAACAGTAGCACAAGTGACACATTGAGGTCGTGGCAATTGGTCAGTGTTAGGGCATTGTATGAAACCAAATTTTAAGTAGCTGTCCATGTACTTACGATTGGATGCAGACTTTTTCTTCTGTGTGCTGGTGGTTTTCCCTTCATTTTGTACATCCTGGAGATCGCTATGTAGGCTTGAGGTGGATGAATCACTACTTGTTGCATCACAAACACCTTCAATACGAGATTTCTTAACACCAAAATTAAACAAAGTCCCCTGTCTCTTATTCATATTAAAATTTAAATCACTCAGGTTTCGAAACAAGCACTTACACACTGCAATGCGAACTTGCGAAGAAACAGTATTCAGTATTACTAGATTTGAGAACCGGATACAGACTGCCTTGATCTTCAGTTTCAGTGGAAACATTTTCTTTATACTTCCTTGCTGATTGGTCACTGACATTTGCAACACAGATGTTATTTCGCTCAGTTCTGAGAACAGAGGATATGCCGCCCATTGTTGTAATCGGCTTGCAGGCAATTTTTATGACTGGTCATAAACATCGGTATTGCCTTTCCCGAATGTTGAAAGATTTGGATGTCTGAAAATTCCCGATCATTCATGAATACTTCCATGTTTAAAAATATGCGGCTTGGTCACTGACATTTGCTACACAGATTTAGGTGTTCTGTGTCTGAGCTTCTCGACACAAATATTATTCTCCTCAGAATATTTCCACTATAAAATATTTATTCATGAAAAATGCTTAGAAAATGAAAATGACAAATTCCAGAAGAGCCTCTCGCGGCCCAGTATGATTGATGCCAGGGCCTACTACCGGGTCGAGCCCCAGCGGTTGAGAAGCACTAGAATAGACAGAGGGTAGTTTTAAGTGTAATTTCCAAATTAGGTTTTAGGTTAATATTGTATTCGTATTAGAATTAGTGATTAATATGAATAGGGTGGACACCCTTCTGAAATCACCGTTCTCAACTTTGAGTTTAGAAGATAAATTACAAGTAAAAACTCTTGGCGCACATCAACCACCAGATTTCAAACTTGATCAGAACTGCAAGACTTAGAAAAGAACGTTTCCGTTATCTTGGATTCACAAGAAGAAATGACTGACTGTGAGCGAAGAATTGAATTCAATTTTTTGTTTTGTGTGTTTATTGTTTGGTGGGGAAGCGAGTTGGACTGTGACAGGTATAACTGACCTTAAACATTTGTCAGAAAGAGTTAGAAGACACGAAGCGACGCAAAGGCATATTGAAAATGTAGAAGTTAATCTCTTCGGTTCTGTCAATGTTTTAACCCAATTATATGATAGCTATAAAGGTTCTATTCAGCGTCACAATGAACTTGTGGATGAAAACAGACACATTAAATAGGGTAATTAGTTGTATCAAGTTTGGTGGAACGCATGAACTTCCTCTTCTGGGACATGAAGAGCGCGAGAGTTCTTACAATCGGATATTTTTGGATCTCGTGTCGGAACTAGCGGCTTTAGATAGTATTCTAAGTGAACATTATTTAAATAGTGCAACTGTGTCAAAAAACATGTCGAAAACAATTCAAAACGAATTACTGGACTGTATATATACGGTATACAAGGAAACGGTCAAACAAGAAATTCAATTGCAAAATATGTATATGTCCAGGCAGATGAAACCTCTGACGTGTCATGCATGTCCCCATTAGTTATTTTGCTACCGTATGCCCATAGCAGTGGTCCTGTTGAAAGGTTCATTTCCTTTGTTCACATTCAGGATAGAACTTCAGAATGTTTAACATCAGTACTTAAACAAGAATTAGAACCAAACAACCTTGAACAAGAACTAATTGCTCAATCCTATGATGGCGCTCCCGCGTTTTGTGGCGGGAACAGCGGGGTCCAGGTAAAGATGAGAGATACATTTCCCCATGCACGTTTCATCCACTGTTACGCTCATCAGCTAAACTTAGTAATGAAGAAAGCATGTTTCTCTGTAAAATCGGTGAAATTGTTTATCAATATATCGGGCTTTTCATCATTCTTCTCTGTTTCGCCCAAGCGCTCGGATTTATTAAGAACTGTGTGTGGCCGGGCGATTCCGAAGACTGTAGAAACGCGCTGGAACTTTCACAGTAGAGTTGTAAATACTGTCTTCAACAACACTCATGATCTACTTCAGTGTTCAGACATGATTCAAAATGAAGATGGTTGGGATGATGTTACAATTCGATAGTCCACAGGACTTGCTAATTTGTTGAATGATGGGGAAATTCTTATATTTGTTGTCATTTTTTAATTCCGTTCTTTTACATGTAGACATTCTGTACAACACAATACAGAAATTGTCAGGAAATTCTCTAAATATTCGTACTGCAATTCAGCACTTCGAAACTGCAATAAACGTCATCAGAAATAATTTGCATGAACTAGAACGTCTAACAAAACGTGCTCGGAAAGATGTGAACACAAGCGCCGAAGCTAAAGAGCCCTGTGACACAACAGTGAACCAGATGAAACATCGTTTCGAAGAAGCGCATCACACAAAATGTTTTCCATTAATTGAACCGCAATTATTTGCAGCACATGAAGTTGCCTTTCCTAGAGAGCTTGTGATCAGTGCTGTAAAATGTTATCCTATGCTCCCAAAAGATAAGTTAGAAAGCGAACTTAGTGTCCTTTATAGGCATGACACATTTGCAAACGTAAAGACTGTTCCTGCTCTGTGGACATTAATAAGAGAGAACAATCTGGAAGTCGCTCTGTCATAAATACACAAACTGACAGATAATGTACTTACAATTCCAATATCATCCGCCGAATCCGAGCGTTGTTTCAGCACTCTAAAAAGAGTTAAGACATACACGTATCTAAGGAACGCAATGGGTCAAGAAGGTCTGAAGGCACTGGCTGTACATAGCATTCATAAGGACATGATTGCAAAGATTCCGGCATTCAACCAAAAAGTGATTCATTTGTTTGCTTCCCAGAAGAATAGACGAGCGCAGTTCCTGTATAAATGAGGTAACTTTTAAAGCATTATTTTAATTAATGGCTTGAATTGCAATGGAGCATGCTTAAATTTTCTGATACTGCTAAGTGCAAAATGTTTTCACATGTTTTAAAGTAGGAGTTTGTACTACAACTCGCATCACTACTACCTACTACTACTACTACTACTACTACTGCTACTACTACTACTACTACTACTATTATTATATAAGAACGTAAGAATGTATCACTGTCTCATATTAGCCCCACCATCTATTTGAGCCATGAACCGCCACTGCCGGTCACAGTTAATCTGGGTGTCGGACAAACCGAATCGAAATATGAAAATGCTGTTCACGGTTGAGCAGATACACATGGCAGTTAGGAAGGCGGCCCGGGTTCGATCCCGGGTCTGGTCAAGTGGGATTTGTGGTGGACAAAGTGGCGCTGGGGCGGGTTTTCTCCGAATACTTCGGTTTCCCCTGCCCTGCCAATCTTCATTCCACCAATTGCTCCACAATCACCCTCACCTATCATCTGGGGCTGGTGCAATAGGCCAGAAGTGTCAGCAGTACAAGGGACTTAGTTCCACCCCACTAGCAACAAAAGAAAAAAGGCAGACGAATCACTTGTCTGTTCAGAAAAAAACTTGACGGTTTCTTCAAACCTATGTTATTACGTTCAAAATCACTCACAACTTCTGGGTCTTCCATTGATGAATAAATGTATTGTGTTTTTATACTTCGTATACAGGGTGTATCACAACTCAACGGCAAAACTTCAGGAACGGACTCCTCATATAGAGAGAAGAAAAAAAGTTTATGACAACATGGGTCCGGAAATGCATATAGTTACAGAGTAGTAATTGTGTCTGCACGCCACTGAAAAGAACTGGCAGAGGAAAATTTATCACGAAGTAATCACAGGTGACGTCATGATAATCATAGAGCTGTCCTCCCAGTGAAAGGCCGATCCATAAATAGAAAACACTCATGTCGCCAATTCTTTTCAGTGACGTGCAGACACAATTACTACTCTGTAACTATATGCATTTCCGGACCCATGTTGTCATAAACTTTTTTTCTTCTCTCTATATGAGGAGTCCGTTCCTGAAGTTTTGTCCTTGAGTTGTGATACATTCTGTATAAAGGCTCTACACTGATGTTTTTATTTATTTTCATCAGAACTACTTACATCGTTACATTTTCCATTTATTTCTATACTAAGTAGAATTTTTTGCCGGTCACGGTAGCCGAACGGTCTAAGGCATGTACTGTCTTCGCTCGCCGAAAGCCGGGACCGTGGATTCGAATCCCACACAAGGCATAGATATTTGCTGTGTATGCATTCATTCTGTGTGTAGGCAGCGGCCTTGCGACGAGCTGATCACCCGTCCAAGGAGTCCTACCGTCTGTAAATATGATCAATGAAACTGAAAAATCAGCCCTGTGCTCCAAAGTGGGAACGAGATAGATTTTTTTTCTTTCTTTTGGAGCTAACATCTTGCTTCACTAATCCGGATGACCCC